GATATCACGCCGACCAGTTCGGGCTGTGCGTCTAACAATTCAACATAGATAAGCTCGCCGACAGTTCGCGCAAAATGACGCTAATTGGCAACTTCGACATTGGAGGCCAGTGCTTTTTACTGACGAATCACGATTCCGTCTAACACATTGCGATGGTCGTCTCCGTGTTTACAGACGCCCAGGCGAGCGATACAGTGCAGCAGCAGTCCAGGAATATGACAAATTTGGATGTGGCTCTGTGATGGTTTGGGGCGCAGTTAGTTTGGACGAGCGCACAGATCTCGTCGTTGTTCCCGGGCGGGTAGTAATTAACAAATTAACAAGGTAAAAAGTAGCGTACACGTTAATTTAAATCTAATTTTAGTTTAAGCAATAGAAAGGAGAAAAATCTTGTTCCGCTAATTGTTTTGAGCAGTATATAAAGTTGGTTTAAATTCATTAAGCTTGTGTCTTGATATATATTTATGTTAGGTGCATGATAATTAAAAATAACTCTACTGTTTGTAATTAAAGTAGTTCTATCTGTTTTAGTCAAATTGTATTTAATATTTAATGAATATAGATAGAACAGTGTTTTTGTAAGTGTTCAACGGATAGAATTAAATAGTTAGGTATATCTTTTACTTAAATGTATAGTTGGAATTATTAAGGTATTTGAACAGATGTTACACAACACACTTAAACACCTTATCAGCATAATTTATTCAAAACAAACAAAAAATAAGCAGAATATTCATTAAGTCAACAAGATTATTGTTTCGAAGTGATATTTATTATACAATTTTCAGTTTGCTATTAAGATTTCTGTAGGCGCAACTAAATGTCGACAACAGACGCTGTATTTTTGTACAAAACTATTTAATTGTAGCTTAACAGTCGTACACGGTTTATGAACAGTTTAAGTGACGACCAACATCTCGTCGCACTCCTGTAACTGCTGCTATTACATTACTACTAACCATTATTATGTAATTAAAATCATGTATTACGTGCACGAGTATGAAGTTGAATACAAAAGAATTCATACGTGTGTCGAAGGCTAAAACGTCGTTCGGTCGTCGCTTGGGAAGGGAATTCCCTTCCTGTATCTGTGTTTACATCATTAGAAGTCGGCAATCATTACAAAAAGCAAATGAGCGTTTAGTAGCTAGGTGTGATTTACCTTAGTTTACAACTATACCTTACAAGACCAGACAGGCTAAGTTTAGTAATAAAAAAAAGAGTAAGGACAGTGATGGCCTAGTGGCGACTTAGATCATATGTCCGAAGCTGTTCGATCTGATCCAGGCAACCACTGTAAGGAAAAAAAGGGTGCGTGTACTTATGTACGCGCGTAAGAAGTTATAGTTCTTTGGCATTATTAAAAATAGTTTGGCTTTGTTCCACCTCCAGTTTTTGATGTTTCACAGCGATAAGATGACAACTCTTTTTTTGTATTCAATTTAGTGCACTTACACTGATTCATCAATTGTTTTTTGTCTCTTGTCCTTATATTTGCTAGAGAAAAATTACATGTTTTGATTAAACAATGTGGTAATTTTTTTAATCAAAACATTACTCGATAATAATAATACAAACTGATAGTTAACCTCAATTGTAATGAAGCACTTAGGAAGGTTGATGAGCACAGTTTTTTCACAAATATTAATTAGTATTGGTTTAAATATTCAATTTAAATCACTTCTGATTATATATAATTCAAAAAGCATTGCTAAATTTCTTTGAAAAAATAATTAAAACTCCTTTATTTGTTTAAAAGGTAAATGACAAATGTCATTATGGTCATTCAAAATTCTTGGCATACGAACTTCACGCATATTCTATTTCGTTTTACTTGTAGATTGTCTTATTCCTATCTCGCTCGCGCACGCTATAATCACACTCCTAATTTTGTGTCACGGTGCGCGCGCATCGTAAAATTTCACTCTCATAAATTTTTCATAACGCGCCTAAAGAAGTATAACTTCAAAAATTAGATAAGGTAAGCAAGACGTGCAAAAATATAAATTTGTATCCCTATTTCCCTTGGTCACGGCATCAAGCGTGAACGGCTGGACAGATTTCGCTAATTCTTTTTTGTTGTATTTGTTATTGTCGCGAGAAGGTTCTTATCTATATAAAAAAATAAGAAAATTGCGGGGAAAATTAGAAAATTTAAGAACACCACCACCAAGAACCACCATACAATTCATACTTATGGCGTTTGACATAACATTGACAGAATGCGAGCTGCAAATATAGTCAGAGGATGTAAGAAAAATGAATAGCGTTTAAAACAAATGCTTTGCTCGAAGTTATTATATTGATAAAATAGCGTCGCACAGCCGACAATCGCTGTCCTCGTCTGACAAATGATGTTACGCGCTAACTCTCTTTCACTCTACCTTAAATATGTATTATCTTTAACAGCCAGTAGCCCTTATTTGCGGCCAGATTTAATTAAGCAACTTTATATGATAATTAATAGAAAAAAATTAGCTTCAATTTGACATATAATTAATAAAAATAGGTTATAAACGTATAAATTTATCGAAATCATACCTGTTTACACCTGGCTGCAAAGAGGTGCGGCCAGGTGCGCAACGGCACCCGTGATTTTTTAGAATCTTCATATTAATTACCGTGATGTAGACGTTATTTTATTTAAATAATAAATGAACGAAATTTTTTACCAAAAATCAATTAAAAATAATGGCGGCCAAATTTTGATAGGCGCCCTAGTAAATATATATTCTCTTAATTATAAATAAACATAAAAATTTGGTTTTAAACAAATAGTCGATGAGCGCACCAATCCTGCAGCGGGATCTCGTACTATTATGACGTTGTCACTTTCAACTATCGTCAGTAAACCGACTTTACAGACAACCGTTTTTATTGTATGCGTTGGGTGACGGTTTGGTTTAGATTCACAAATCAGCTGATGCTGCTACAGTCGGTACTCTGTCTTTGTTTATTATACTAATCGCTTGAAAGTTGTTATTTTTCTATTTGTCTTCGAGTCATATATCCATGATTGGTTACCGTAAGAAAGACACGGCAATACACACGTGTCTAAGACTTTCTTCTTCAAGTATGTTGTTTTTTATTGTCTGTTTTTCCAATGATTAAGGTCAAAAGCCTTATTGGTTACTATGAGAATGCTCGGTGGCTGCGCGTTGTTGTTTAACATAAGCAATCTATCAAAGGAAAAAATGAAACATACAAGCACAAAATAAAAATTAAACAAAACTAAAAATAATAACTAAAAACTAATAATTAATAATACCTAAAACTAAAAAGATAAAACGGTTATTGTCGATCAATTCCGGAACAAACTTGTGCCTGAAATCAAATCTCTGCTACATGAAGTCTGGGACTGGGGCGACTTAATCTAGTCCAATTTGATCGCATTTGTGCATGTGCATTTTCTATTGTGTACTAATGTTGTTTGTTCATTCTCTTTAAAGTCTCAGAATACCACCCAGCATCGGATAACTAGGCGTTGACTTATTGACGTTCAGTTTCGCGGTCCTTTGGAAGGAAAGGCTAAATTAGTATGCTCAGAAAGACGAGACGGTACTAATAGTAATAATTTATTTGCTTAATATATATAATTTTATTTCTATAATATATCTAGTAGGTACAATAATATGGTGGTACAATCTGAGTTTCGCATATTCTGCCACACATAATGGCGTGAATATTTGCTATTTCGCTACTACTTTACTCCGGGCTACCGCTTCCTTACTTAGCAAAATGTCAATTCAGTCATGTTGCGTCTCTCTGCAGTGTTCAGAGGACTTGTTCGGAGTTGTCCACTGGAGTATTTCCGAACTAATTCAACTTAGGGCTCTTTAAGAAAAGAGCGTACCAATTCTTAAAAGACCGAGCCTTCAGGCCGTGTGAGTGGCCATATCAGGTAAGCCTCTTTCTCATTTGCCTCTGATCTATAAAAAAAATGGAATTATGTGTACTTCGAATATTTTTTAAATAAAAAAGTGTGATTTAATATGAATAAACCACAACTGCTCCACCATGAACTAGTTCTATCTCGTATCTTTGAAGTTAGGCTATTGAATGCGTTTCTAATAATAGTTTATTTTTAAATATTATTGAATTCTCTACTTATTCTGAATAATCAGGAAGTACTAAAATTTAATATCGCAGGAGACGCATTCAATAGCGGAGCTTCAAAGATATATTCGACAGACGAATGTCCGATTTTAATAATTACATATTGTGACTGTTATGTTATGAGAACAAAATAAATATGTGGAGAGTTGCAAACTCCGTCCCAATTATTAAACATGCAATTAGCAGGTCCCTGTGGTGGTAGAGCGCGCCAATGTGTAAATAACAACCAATTTTGATTTGACATAGCCGTTGCACATTGCGCTAACACGAAACTTCGTTTTAACTTTGACAGATGGTGTACATTTTAAGAGTTCATATTTTATTTGTTAATATTTAATACGTAAAGGCTGTAAAACGACTTTTCTATCTTGCCCAATGAAATAAAAATAAATTCGTTAATACAATGAGTTGTCATAGAATTACCACAAATACGCAGTAGGCGAGGATCTGCTATTTTAATTAGAATACTTATCAACAATTTAAATTACCAATTTCGCTGATAAACACAACTAATTAAACGTAATAAATTCTGAAAGTAATTAAAATTAAAAAAAATATGTAAATGGAAAGTTTTCATGCTAAACATTGTTATTTCTTTTACGGTTTGGTAAAATTATTAGTATAAATTATATAAAAATATTCATTCGATCTCTGTAAATAAAATAGGCATCGTAGAATAGGCATTCCGTCACTTTAATTAATTAAAAACCCTCACAAATTCTCTATCTCTTTTGAATTGATTGAATATCCTTTAAAATAATTTAATTGTTCTTTAGAAACACTCTATATACAAAGGCTTTAGGTTGAGTATGTCTATAAAATTGTGTGACATTGTCATAATAAATAAGTAAAAAACGAATAAGAAGTTATTGTTATTTTTGAATATGTATTGGTTGGTCGTCTGGTAAGAATATTTTTAGTTATTGTAATAAAGATAATATTATAATGACTATAAATTTAGAAAAAAATACAGCTACGTTTAGCTGATTACTGTGTATTTAAATACATTTAGTTTTGGTGGGTTTTAATAAAAAATCGATCGAACATTATTTTTTATTCGTTTTTGTAAATTAAAAGGTGTAAATCTTTGGTTTCGCCGGTAATCAAACTCAGATCTTCAACTTTTACAATTAAGCCACGTAGGCGGTATTATATATAGTATAAAAGACGTATTTGCAATTCTTCAGGACCGTGTTTGTCACGTGGTGCGAGGCAGCCTCAAAATTCCCAGCTGGGTTTCAATTTGGCTCAGCCACATCCTCTTACCAGGTGGAGGGCGCTTGGAACGCGAGTGGTAAGTAATAAAACCAGAAAATTAGCCTTAACGAAAGACAGTTGTTGGATAAAATAAGGAATTAATTAACGAACAATTTTCATTACATAAATATATATGCATAGATGTTTAATAAGGTTTTAATCAAAAATAAATTTAATTTCAATTAAAAATTTTATCGTAAATTATAAATCAAAAGTTGACTTTGTTTTTTCTTATTTTTGTTTCTTTGGGTTTCTTCTATTTTGTAACGTTGTGGATCTTGTGTTGTTTTATCTGTCTTTATGTATTTGCATGTGTACCTTATGAATAAATAAAATCAATACAAATAAATAGAAAACCGTTAATTAATAAAATTGATTTGTGAAGAATCGAAAGAAAGTACGATTCTATTTACACGCTGTTGATAAATGAAAATCGAATTTCCCACGCCTAGTTGTAGTTGATTTCAAAAGTCAAAAATCGTTTATTCATGTAGGTAACACAATGTAAAGAAATATACATTAATGATTCTAATTTTACAATACAAACAAATTGTATCCCCAAAAGCAATGCGATCTCGGCTTCAGAATTGTACCACGCTCCTTGCGTTATATAAAACTGTCGGGATCTGTGCCTCGGTACTCAGTGATTTTCAGTAGCGATTGAAAGTCACTGAGTACCGAGGCTGACTCGGAGAGCTCATAAAATAAGTCGTTATTTCGTTTCAAAGGGTCTAAGTTTAAGTGTATATTAAAATCTTCATCATCTTCCTCTTTTCTTTTTAACAGATAAATCTCCAAGTATCTGGGATGTTTTCGTCCATGAACACCCATCCGCTATCGCGGACCACTCTAATGGAGATGTGGCTTGCGACTCCTACCATTTATGGAAGAAGGATATCGCCTTGGCCCGGAGTTTGGGGCTCAACTTTTATCGGTATGTACTGTGCAAGTTAGACTTTTAACAAATAATTTTCTACTGAACGACGGATATGTCTGGATTTTAAACGACTTCAAGAAAAGGGAGAATTGGAAAATCCTTGAGTATTATCTCATATGTTTGTTGTGTTGTTTCTTTACTTAATTTCTCGACTATCGAGATGATCTTTATTTAAATTAGATGCATTACAAGTCCGATTAAACTTGTTTCAGCACTTGTTGAGACATGGGTGTTTTTTATTGAAACCAGATTTTAGGTTAATTTCCTCACGACACTGAGTGTCAGAAGCAAGAAAGAATGTCGATTAGGTAAAGTAACCCCAATCAAAAAATCAATATTAAGTTAATTCGCCACTTTGACATTTTTTTAATACAAAATAAAATATGTTTATTGAACATAAAATACAGGTATCACTTATTTCACGTCATTAAATTTGAGTCGGTAGACATGCCTACTCATCGGCAAAGAAGACAGAGGGTGTAGGCCGAGAGAAAAAGCCGGCGTAAAAAACTTTCGGTACTTCTTTAAAATAGCAAATCATCAAAGAACACTTATTTTAAAACAAATATCGCAAATAATTTAGAAGTAGCCAGTCTAGCACTAGTCCCAAGCCCTCTTATTAACTAGATAATTGTTAACTTTATAGAATGGCTTTTTACACAGCTTTTCTTTAACACATTTCTTATATTTATTAAAAGGCAGAGATAAAAGAGTCTCTGGGATTTTATTAAAGAAAAGCATCCCCTTTTTTAAAAAAGAATGACTAACTTTAGATAGTCTAGTACGGGGAAATTGCAGCCTGCGTTTGTTCCGAGTATTAACATTATGCATATGTTCTATTCTAGTATACACTTATCACTATTTTTGTATACATACATAATATTTTCATAAATATATTGCGAGGGAAAGGTAATTCATATTCCATTTCCTTGAATTTATCTCTCAGAGATTCCCTACATTGTAAATTATAGATTGCACGAATAGCACTCTTCTGCAGGATGAAAATACTTTCGTATAGTGAAGTGAAGGCATACGAATAATATTGCAGCACTATTACGGTCCATACCATCCACTTATCGCGGTAACATATTCACAGTTTCTCAATAGCATGGCCCCGACTCCTGCCTGAGGGTTTTTCTAATAACGTGAGTAAAGATGGAACAACATATTACAACAATCTTATCAACGGTCTGCTTAGCGTTGGAATCGAACCGGTTGTCACCCTCTACCACTGGGATTTGCCGCAAAATCTACAAGATTTAGGTAAGAATATTAATTATTTTATTAATATTTACTTATTTTTGTACTAGTTTAAATACACGTGTTACGGGAGGTGTACGTACCATAGATATTAAATATCCCTTAATGTTGCATTTCGTCTGCATATTGTGATACTGATAATCTGTGCCCAGTTCCGGTACTGTAAAAACATATTATAAATCTTTCAGGAGGCTGGACCAACATTGAAATAGTGAATTGGTTTCAAGAGTATGCCCGTGTGGCGTTCACGCTTTTTGGAGACCGGGTTAAGACCTGGGTCACCATAAATGAACCAACTAGCTTCTGTAATGTGGGGTATGGGACTGGGATACTAGCACCTGGGGTAGTCAGCCCTGGGATTGGAGAATACCTTTGCGCTAAAAATGCTTTACTGAGTCATGCGAAGGCATACAGACTGTATGAAAAGGAATTCAGAGATAAATATAAAGGTAATGTATTAAAAAATATAATTTTATGTTTATAATTATGTTAAATTTTTATATTGTAATGCAATAAAGTGTAAATAAAATAAATTATATGTCATAAAGCCTAACTAGAACTAGACCTAACAACAAATCAAGTGTATTAGTAAATAACACTTCTTTTCTTCAAGACTTAAAGCCAGAATACAAAATACCATCCGTAGCACCTTGAATTCCATCGTTCCACAACTGAGCGTTTCTTAAGGCAATTTCTGCCGCGTCCACCACTCTGTGGAACCAGCTGCCAAATGAAGTATTTACGAACCAGTACAACTTGGGTCATTCAAGAAAAGAGCGTACCCATTCTTAAAAGTCCGGCAGCGCGCTTGCGAGCCTTCTGGCAGTGCGAGTGTCCATGGGCGGCGGTATCACTTAACATCAGGTGAGCCTCCTGCCCGTTTGCCTCCTGTAACATAAAAAATACGGCCATCAAAACTAGTATACTGAATTTCAGGGCAAGTTGGTTTGACAAACCAATTCGTATGGTATGAGGCTAAGAATCCTGGCCAGGAACAAAATGCGCAGCTTGCACGGGACCTAGGCGTAAGTTTGTAATAAACAAATCGAATGTTCGTTTTTTTTTATGTTCGTTCAGCATTATTTATTTGAGAGCATTTAATATACATATAGATAAAAATAATTTGCACTAGGCTTATAGCCGTTTTCACGTTTCGACTATTCACTACGAATAGTTCTGTGACACACGTACAGTAGAATTACATATACAGCTAAGCTATCCTATCTTTTAAGTTAGATCAAACTGCACACGGTGTGCAAATATGATTGAAATCGGTTAAGTAGTTTAGGAGCCCATAGCAGACAAACAACGTGACGCGTAATTTATATATATTAAGATTATTTAAAAGTTATGCAAAGTTGCCGCTGATTTTATAGGCATTTTCGCGCTTTTCAACTTTTCCCTAGAAGTCAAAGAAAAATATTAACTTTTTCTCCGGTTTTCCTTGCAAATACGACGATAGACGACGATAGATATAATAATATATTTTCAAATATTGTGACTTTCTATTTGTAAAAAAAAACAAAATCGCTTCGGATCGGATCCAGAGATTACCCCCTACACCGTCACATCCTTAAAATAGTGGTAGTTAAATATTAGTACAGATTGGGAATAAATTTAACGTTTGTTTTTACAGGAATTATACACCTTTCCGATATTCTCCAATATTGGTGGATGGCCCCCCAATATCGAGTTTATTATAGCCAAAAATAGTAGAGCTGAAAATTATTCAAGTTCCAGACTTCCTGCACTCACTGAAGAAGAAATAAATCTAGTCAAAGGTATGTAAATAAACCTAATTCAGTGTTAGTACAACAATACGGTTGTACTCCTATGATATTTTTGGTTATAAGACATGGCGCTTTCTCGCAAAGTTTTCCTGTGAAGAAAGAAGTTGTGTTCTTTTTCTGAAAGCATCATTGACTAGTCTAACCACTGACTGGTCGGCCCAAAGGAAGCAGTCGGAAACACTTTGTTGGTGCGATATCGTTAAAAATTATACAAAATAGTTTCTGTGAGTTTTAAATCGCCAAACAATAAAGACGCTTGTTCCGTCCATTGCACTCCCTTTTCCCCGCATAAGCAATACCTGCACCCCTCTGCCGCAACACCATTATAAAAGGAAGCGGACAACCTTAGCTTTTGATCGGATACCTCACATCGGACCGGTCAATTCTCAACTATACCACGACTTATATTTTGATTCCACATTTGACATTAGCTACTGTCAGTTTGTAAAATAATGATACCACATATTATATGTGGTAAGAGGTAGTGTACCTAGTGATGAACACAAAAATTGATAAACAATCGTGATTTATGTTTATGTAATCAAAATATTGGTGTGCCAATTAAAGACTAAATTATTGATTTTTATTTAAATAAATACATAGTTATTTATTAATTAGAAACCGCTGCTTTATTTTATAAAAAAAGTAATATTTTTCATATTCCTTCATTTCACATTTGTTTATTAATTTCACACACAATTATTAAAGAAAACTCTCAGATCCTTAATAAAATTAATCGTCATAACTAAATTATCCGTTCAGACATATTTAATTTCCTGATATACTTAGTTTCTATTAAAGTAGTAGTTGTTTAGATATACTACTATAAACCAGAGGAATCGATCCGGAAATATTCCATTTCGCTATCGAATAATTTCGCAACGTCACTATTTAGTACTGGTCATAACATTGCAACACTGAAATTGTCAAAACTGGAATCGAATTGAAAGTTTTAGTATAGATAAGTTTATAATATAGATACGTACGCAACTCATATCGGGCCGATTCAATTTTCATATTAAGTTAAGTGTCAATTATTGTAGTAATAAATATAGTTTGGTATTTTTTTGGGATTCACCGCTGGCCCTCACTCAATTCGCTATTACAACACTACAATACAATTCGCGTCAATAATAAACAAAGTTAATCGTTGCAATTATTTAGCCAATAGTATCGGATGTATTGAAAACCTTCTAAAAACACCTAAACGGATGTTATTTCTGGTCTGGCCCTCCTTTCTATTGTATGTTTCGTGATCAATTATTTTTTTCTAATAAGGTGGTCAGCCTTGTGACCACATTCATCACGATTTTCCTTCACCAAGCGAGTGTTAAATAGGTGCACAGACGGGGTTAGAACCTACGACCTCAGGGATAACACTATTCGTGTTGGCCTGGTGGTTTCAATAGTTTCAAGAAATAGGCCGAGTAAATAATTTACATTACGACTTGAACAAAAGACTTTGAATTTTGGTACCTGCAAACTCTCATAAGTAAGCTCCAGTTACTTAACAGTTGTATTTATTGTGATACAGGTTCAGCTGACTTCTTTGGTGTTAACTACTATACTTCCCGACTCGTTGAAGAAGCGTGTCACCATGAACAGATTCTCGTCTGGCCATTGTTTGGAAGCCGGGAGCTTGGCCTGGTTTTCTCATATGATTCTACTTGGCTACCGCGTTACGATTGGATCGCGGTACGTATTACAGATGATTAGGTAGGAAAATTCGAAATTAATAACCGGCATAAGATTTGTAAGTGATACGCCAGAATAGTACAGTGTTATAAACATAAATAAAACTTACTTTAACACGTGTTCTATTTCCCTTTGAGAACAGTGTTGGCCTAGTGGTTTCAGCGTGCGATTCCCATCCCTGATTTTGTAGGTACGGCTTTCTGTCGATGTGCGCATTGCTCGTACGGAAAGAAAACATCATATTCTGTGAAACGAGGTCTACAAAAATTCTTTATTATTCTAATTTATTCACTTATATGGGTTATACAATATTAATTCACATAGATATGTCAAATAAATCCAGAAACCTAAAAAAATACAAGTTATTCATAACCTTAAGAGTTTTTCAGAGCTATCCCCCTGGAATCCGTCGACTTATGAAGTCATTGACGGAGCGTTATGGGAATATAGAAATAAAAATCTTTGAGAATGGTTTTGGGATGTCTGATCCATCCCTCAATGACACCAGGAGGGTGCAATATATTAGGGATCACTTGGAGCAGGTATGTTATGTCTGTTTGAATATTTAAAAATATGATGAATTACATTTAATAAATTACACATATGTAATAAGTTTTTATTAAAAGGAGCAAACAACAAACTCGGTTACTCCGACAGTTATTAACTATTATAACATTCAGTCTTATTTAGAATGCGAAACAACACGAGAATACACAGAAAAAGTGAAACAAATTGCGATGCATATGATACATAGAACAACTATATTAGAGAATTTTTATTTTGGTATATTTTGGCAGTAAAGTAATTCATCATAATAAATTATTCTGCTATTCCTGGTTTAAATATCTTCCTTGTATTCCCATTGTATTACATTCGCTGTCTTGTCTCAAAGCAGGTGACAGCTATGTTTTGCATTCCAAGAAAATAAAATGTAAACCCCCCACAGGTTTTCCTGTCTATAACAGAAGATGGCGTAAATGTCACGGCCTACACTGCGTGGGCGCTTATTGATAACTTTGAGTGGAACAGTGGATATAAGTAAGTATTTTAAATATTTATTACTTTTTGTGCATTTAAAGTATAGTAAACACCAGATATTTGTACCGGATTTAAAAGGAAAAGTTAATTGCAAATATAGGAGATACAATATATAATTACCGTCATTGATAAAATCGATAAATATTGTAATAATTCCACGTCGTCGTTAGAAATGTTAGTTCATGCTTCTAACTAACACATCAAAGGTACAGAACAGTACCAGGTACAAAATTCTGTCCGTGAATACTTTTTTTTAATTACATGTTAATTCATATAACGCTAATTCATATAATGCTCAATTATCAGCATGTCATGAGATCTAATCAAATAATAAAACAAACACTTCACATAAGTACAAACACTCACAAAGATATTATATCCTGATCGAATCGATGTTTAGTTTTTATGGAAAAGATGTTTCCTTTACTAAAGTTATTGCAACTTTTTTGTGACAAATTAACAAACTTTTCTCCATACAGGTCTAGATTTGGCATAGTCCACGTTGATTATAACGACCCGAAACTCAAGCGCACGCCTAGAGCCTCCGCGTACTATTATGCAGATGTAATAAAGAAAAGAGAAGTTTGATAGACATGAGTATGATTATTTAAAAGATTTTGTTTGATAATTCGCCTTTTTTTTACATAACAAACAATTTATACAGACGGGATATCGTATCCATTTTGAATTTTTGTGTTAAATGAATTACCCTATTTATAAAAACTCATGCACTGGTTTAGTTAAAATAGTCCTGTCTCTTTCAGTCAAATTGTATTTAAACTATAATGAAAATAGATATAACAGTGCTTTTGTAAGTGTCAAGTGTACAACGGATATAATTTTTTAATACAGTTGCTCAAAAAGTGGCGTATTGCAGGGACGTATAGCGTTCGGGATGTGGGCTATTACACACTCGTGCTTTTTTTTACCTTTTCCGAACTAGTGCGTTTTCTTTCCCAACTGTCAAAATAATGTCTATTAAAAAGAAAAAACCAACCACGAAGTTTTTACTAAAAAAAAATTCATAGAAATTTTTATGATTCATACAAATATTTCTAAAAAGAAGCTACTGCTTTGTTTCAATATAAGATTTATTGATTTGATTCAATGAGTTAGGTTAGATTTCATTTCATCTCATTAAATTTCATTTCATATCAATAAAAAATTGTACTGAAGACTTGGCTGTATATGTGAACAATAATTTGTATAAGAAATAAATGATTAGTGAGTTGAGTTTATTGTTTTTTATTAAATTGCATAATTTTTTCGCAACTGTATTAAAAATAGTTGTTCAGTACACGTGCGGAACCGTCATTGCAACTTGTTCCGACTGTCAACCCTCACCTTCGGCTGCGCCTCGGCTCGGGTAGACATTTGTCGAAACTCTTTGCAATGACACTATGGTAAATCAACATAATTTATTCGAATCAAACAAAAAATGCCAATTTCCACGCTATGTTACAGAAGATTTATTAAGTCTACAAGATCATTGTTTCAAAGCGATGTTCGTTAGACAATTTTCCGTTTGCTATTAAGATTTCTGTAGGCGCAACTAAATGTCGACAACAGACGCTGTATTTTTGTACAAAACGATTTAATTGTAGCTTAACAGTCGTACACGGTTTATGAACAGTTTAAGTGACGATTACTACTAACCACGGTGGTTTTCAAATGTAATATTAAATGATATTTTATTTTTCTGTTCACAATTCCTTTCAAATTATTTCTCCATAATTTAATTATGCATTCCGTTTGAATGTGATTGGTTGGTTAACAACATATGCATAATGCATAATGAACGCGTTACGATGTTATGCTTATCCAATCATAACGAAACGATGCGTTTTGTCTTATATTTATTCATGTGTGTTAACGCCCCATTCTAGATAAAAATATTTTTTTAGTATTAGTCTTAGCCTTTATTTAGTTCATTTCGTCAAGTTCCTTTTTCTTACGTACAATAAATTAAAAACAAACTTAATTCCGTTTGCCAGTCCTGACAAAACCCTCTTCCAGACTCTTACATTCTGCCCTTTCTCGCCCCACTTGACCAAACAATAATGGCATTACTAAATCCCTAACATGTTCAGGCTTTGTTTTGACTGTGGAATTTTACAAATATAAATAATCACACTAGAGCGGCGAATACCAAATCGTAAAATAAGTTTACAAGGGATTTGAGATCTGAATATGTAAGTTTGAAAAGTGAGTAATCACACGGCTGTTGTTAATTTGTGTAAATAAAAGTCGTATTAAAACAAAGCATATTTTATTGTTTTCATTATATTACTTTATCTCAATATAAAATCATCCGGAGTTGGGACTCTTAGAAAAATAAACATCTTCAATAAATATAAGACAACACAAGTTGACAATATGTACAGTCGAGCAGAAAATTACTATTAAAACAAAATATTATTTTGTTAATTTAATATAAAGAAGTATTATTTAAATTTCATTATTTTCAAAATAATTGCACATTTTGCAAAAAAATTAAAATACGATGCTTTCTTAGAGATCGTTCGGGACGGGGCACAAAATCAATTTGTCATAAATTATAAATAATGAACAATGGCTTTCCCTTCGACTGTACTGTGCCTGTCACAGAGCCGCCACTAAAAATTATTATGGCAACACTTCAACCCTATGACGTCACAAAACAATAAAATGTCAAATTAAAAAAGTATAAACCTGATTCACAATCAGCGTAACATAGACTTAATTATAGAAAAAAAACATATATCTAGCGTTTACCAAGTAGTAATAATTGTACAATATCAGCTAAAAACCGTTAAAGTCTTATGTTCTGTGAACTATGACAGCTGTCAATTGTCATTTTGGTTAAGGTGAAAAGAATTCTGGCACAGAACATAAAAGTTTAACAGGTTGAAAATAAGTGATCTAGGTACTAATTTGTGAAACCCAGGTATATTGGAATGTCCTGTATAAACAACATGGTGATGCATAATAATCTCTTGCATTGGTCGTATTGTAAATTTGTGCCTGTAGTGATCCTAAACAACGATAAGCCGAATGGAGTAAAAAACAAGTAAGATTTAAAACAATATCTATGGCATCAGTCTTTAGTTTATGCCAGATCTATCCAAGTCTATCTTCCAAGTGAATGTGACGTTAATACATAAGTCTATGTAATTTTAGTAGATAAACTCGAATAGCGAGTCCACGCCATATCACCTCGTAATTTACTCCCGCACAAGCCCTTAATCCAAACTTGAGAAACACACAAGACAATTTAATATCTAATACCTAAATAGCACCTAAATGGTGTAATATAGAAACAGTAGTAGCAACATGTTATAAATATCTTAAAACACTTTAGCTCTCGACTCGGATTCCCGCCAAAACATACGTCAACTGTCAAAACTGTTAGATGTCATGGTTTTATCGATTTTAGTCAGGTTTTAGAGAGAAATTATCACTAAATAACGGTGGTTTAACTCGTGTGATATTTTAAAGCTAAATAGACAAATCGAATATCAACACGAACACTTAAATGGCATCAGGCCCTGGTTCCGTCTTAGCCTAAGCTTAAAAATCGTTAAAAATGCTGCAAATTAACCTTAATATATTTTTACAATCGCATAATCTATAGTGCGTTTTCGAAACATCGATATAATAAAAAATTACAATTATAAACGATTATAATTATAAATAACTTATAATAATATTCGCAGTGATGTTACCCTCCATATCTGTGAATCGAGTCTTATTTTAATGTTAGACGGTAAGTGAGCACGATTAAGGCTGTGTGCTCTGTTGTTGGATTTCAATTTTCTCGACCGTCATATCGGGGTTCATCGCTGTGGCTTCCTAAAAATACCAAAAAAAAATATGAATTCTTAGTATGTATGTGGCAGATCCAGTGCCCGTACTCTGTAACTTCTTTAATAATATTTTCATTTGTATCCGTAGCGCTCATGTACCTTGGTATTAGGAAGCGTTCAAGTATTACGTCACATAATTTTGGGAGATTATTGACCCCCCTCCCCATGTAACGCGCCGTAACGTTTTTCTGTACCCAAGTATAGTAAAACGTTTCGTGACCATCTAGTAACTCTTTATACCTAAAAGTTACCATTATGTGGCGTAAAGTACTGGAAAGTCGAAAATAATATTAACAATAACGCGTAATTCAATCCCCGCCCCGCATCGTAACGTTTTACAAAAGGACCCCCCTCCCTCCAAAATTCGTTACGTAATACTTGAACGCTCCCTTACGAAATTCCAAAATTCTACAAAATAAGTATCGATGTCAGATCGCTATCTGAAGTTACAGAGGGGGCCAGTTCCTAGATTGTGATCAGCGATTTAGACAAATATTTAAACGATCAGAAATACTTATTAAAACTATTGGGTACAATGTTTTAACGTTTCGTGACCACCCAGTGACTCATTATACCATTATGTGGTGTAATGTACTTGAAAGTCGAAAATAATATAAACAATAACGCGTAATTCAAGTCCCTCCCCGCATCGTAACGTTTTACTAATAGACCCCCTCCCTCCCAAAATTCATTACGTAATACCTGAACGCTCCCTTAAAGCAATTTTATTGTTAATAGAAAACTGAATTGATACTTTGGCTCCACTATAACGTTATAAAGCACAGATAATGCAAACAGAATATTTTGTAAGTAAATTGTCATGTCAAAAGTTATAGGTAAATATTGGTTTACCTGAATAGCCTCAGCCAATGCCCGATCGTGATCAATAGGATCGCCATCAGATTGTATAGTGATCTTCTGTTCCACTCGCGTCTCCACTACTCCGTTACGCTCTGTCTTGTACTGGATAAAATTAATTTTCTTGTAATTTTGATGTTAAGAGCCATAAATTATCGATTTGTGACAACAACAATATTATTAATTTCATAACTCAATATCATCTCCTACGTTCAAAAAGTACTGGTTATGAGCCAACTAGACAACAACTAAGCCAACAGCTTTTATAAAAATTACAAAACCAAATGTATAAATTAATAAAGAATTTCCATGAAGGGCCTAGTAAAATATAATACTTATAAATATTGCTGTGTCTTACACACAGATTTCATGTTTATGTGTGCGTAAGTGTTTGTGAATGTTGCGAGAATATGTATGACTGTTAACATAATCTATTATAGTGAATATAATTTTTGTACGCCATTTTCTTAAAAATGACAATTTGAGAATATTAAACAATAGAACTTCACACAAATTCTATTTTATGGGGGCGATACGAGAAAAGTTATTTTTATTTGTATTAACCGAGAAAATAGTAGTGTCATGTTCTCCGCCTAGGGTCAGAAAACTTATGATTATTACCTGTTTTTATTTTAAATGTCTTCTATCATACTGTAATTTATTATATTGATTTGTTTTAGTATTAAATAAAAAAAGAAAATTGAAATCTAAATATTTATAGTCATAAAGACAGTTTTTATATTTAATATAAGGCACTGAAAAGGAAAATGTTAGAAGAGGTTGTATTTATTTACGTTTAAAGTTATTTATACAAATATTTTATTATACTCACAGTAATAGTCTCAACGGTACGTGTTTTGGAGCTGATAGTTTGCGAGGAGACCACTTCCTCGCCCGCCAGTTGTTCAGCTTCTTCTTCTTCTACCGTTGGCTCAGGGCTTTGCGAGAAAGACGTCACTTGCGGGCCTACGCTGCTCTGTAATACGACCTCAATGATAATATCGTTGCCAAAGAAACATAACATTGATGATGATTTATTGAGGTACAACCGTACTGGGGCCGTTTTAGCGAAGTTCAAAAGATTTTTGGACGTTATTTCGAACTAAATATCGGCAAAGAAATGATCACGTGCCTACAAAAACCGCGTGCGTCTTACATGTATTGAACTTCCGATAAATTTTATTGGTAAAATATCGTAGGTGATGACATAAATGATAACATAATTCAGCTGTAATTCCTACAAAAAACTAATACGTTTATGTACTATATTTTTGAGAGCTTTGCTTACTTTTGCTGACAAGAGGAGGGAAATAAATTACAGTAAATCTTGAACGGCCCCTGTCTGATAGCAATGAAATTAAAACACACTAAATTAAAAAAATATAAATATTCCGGTTAAAAATTATTGCCCCTGTATATCTCCCTAATTCCTGCACTTTTGACAAGTTCTGCCATTGTTGAATAGTAGTGGTAACCCAACTGCTTCCCTATTATAATAGACCTAATTCCTACCTTAGTGGTAGCGCTTTGCACCATGCTACCGAATGGAGCATTGCCCATCGCCGTCGATGTTGTAGTAGTGCGGTAAGCGCCAGGCTCCTAAAATTATAATAATTATTAATAATAAACAACGGAGTATTACCCGACAAAAAAAATCTGTTTTAATATACTGAGAATTTCGTCTATAATATATTGAATTGTATAGCTTAGCATATTTAAACGCCTGTTCATCTAGTTTAAGGAACAATAGAATTATGGTATATCTGTACCAATTCTCTAGATATAAAACGATAGAATGATAATCTCCGATTGAATTTTAACGATTACTAATAACAATCAAACGAAATTGCGCGTAATAAAATAAATGGTGTGTATTGCGTCTCGACTATGTAAGATTTTTAAAATTATATATTCATATACATTGAGCAGCTAAGGAAATGTTCTGTTCATGTGGAATATATAAATGTAAATTATATCATTTACGATAAACTACTAAACAATTTTACACGTGTATATCCTAATTTAAATTAGCTATGAAAGAATGGCTGAAGAACTATATTCTAGCTATTTAAATCATGCTTGGGGAATTATAATACACTTTTATTACTCGTTTATTCAAAGTTTATATTATAACCTACCTGTCATATTAATTCGTAATTAACGCACAACATTAAGGTGAATTGTCTAATACAATTTCTACTCTGTATCAAGGGGTACTTGACCACACACACATTCTAAATCACATGCTCGCCATGCCGACTACATGCACACAAAACATGAAACTTTACCTTCAAATCTTGACATAATACCTGCTCAAAATTATAAACAGTATCAAATCTCATAGGGTCATAACTAAAACTAAATTGTATTTTCGTAAGATAACATCCAAATTTTCAAACTCAAACCTTTGATTATTATAAATATATTAAAGAATACCAATCAATGAAAATCGCCAACACTTTGACTGTTGACCATCGCCCTACAAATATAATTGTTATGTGCTACGCGTCATTACAATTATTCACAAAAAATAGTTTTCATATATTATGTATAACTACTTTTATATTATATTACTATTAGCAGTGCAAATCCTCAAAACCGATGACGATTCTCTGATTCGACTCTAGTAGATAATTTATATTTCCATTAAATCTACCTCGTGTTAATTTTTTCCTAGTATAAACTCTAAGTCCTTAATAGTAATGAGTATTAGAAACCTGAAACAATGTTTTTCGTTAGTATACATACCGTCACATAGTAATGTCCTTCTCCGCCATCGAAGTCTATGGGAGTGCCTGAGTCGCCGCTACTCAGAGATGATTCAGAGCCGTGTCTAGTCAACTGTTATCATGATCCGTGGTTATGGCATGGTGGTTCATTGTGTGGTGTTCAGTACATATGATTGTGCATTTAATGATATGGAGTACCATACCAACATGGTAGGATTATGTACGTTTTAACAAAAAGTATTTGGCCCAGAGGGGGCGTTTTAGTATTTTTTAGGTAAATGGAATAAATTATAACAATCCAATGTTCCGTTTAAGATGGCGTTGATTTAGGTCAAATGCGATGTTCACACCATGCGAGTTATGGACGGCCAAGGATTTGGAAAGAAGAGAAAAATAAAATTAGAACATAATACGTGCATTACATGACTGCTTTTATAAATTATTATTTCTGTTTACATTAAAATTTTAATAATATCGTCAAAAATAAGCTCAGCGCAATCAAAAGCTGCCATATGCGATCAAAAATTTAAATTAACCAAACGTGCTAATGGGAATGATTTGCCAAAGGTTTACCTGATCGCCCGTAGTAACAGTGGTTTTGACTTGCTGCGTCACTACTCTTTGCTCCTGGCGAGTGGCTGAAGATGTCAGCGTATGAGCAACCGTTTTTTCTTCCATCTGCTGGGTTTTCGCCTTGGTGTCCAGGTCATGATGGGTCATAGCCGTCCTTGTAGTCACGGCGCGCGCCGTCACGTAAGGACTTCGCCCCTCCATCGACTCAACGTTGTCCGCCTAAATGTTAGACTAGCATGCTTACTATATACAACTAGCTAACACTAAAGCGTGTTAAATAAAAAATGAACACAAAATTAGGAAAAAAAATGGCGTCTCGATGCCCGTTAGGCTGTACAAATCTAAACACGAACCTTGTTTGTGTGAGTCGAGAATGTCACTTCGCCCGTGCCAAGATTCTCCACCTCTTGTTCGACGTTATGCGTGACGCCGTCCTCGTTCTTCGTTAGAAGCTGTTTGGTAGTTGTCTTGACGACTACAGGCGGTGTTGGAGTCTTTTTGGAGCGCTGTGAAATCGGGATCTTAGAGGAGATTGGGGTCGAGGATGACACGTAGCCTTGGTGCCGTATGTGCTCGCTTGTCGTGTATTCAGTGAATGTCTTGGGCTCGTCACCTCGAGCGGGGCTTTCGTCTTTGCCAAAGGTAGAGAATTTGTGCGTGTTTACTGTCTGTATGTCGATATTTGCTGGGAGGTCTTGCGTTTCCTTCTCGATCGTGTAGTTTCCACTCTTGTCTTCGAAATGCGACGGGTCAATTTGCGAGTAGTGTAATATCAATTGGCCGGTAACGGGATCTCGGACTGCGGTACTCGGGTCAATATCACCCGTGTCTGGGTCAATGTCTCCGTATTCCGTCTTTATTCTTCCAGTGACAGGGTCGATCTTGCCAGATAGGGTCATAGTTTGAGTGACAGTCGTTCTAGCTCCCTTCAGCCTTGGGTCGTCGGGATCGACATCAATTGTTTCTCCTGTGATTGGATCAATAATCTGATATACGTATACAGTCTTCGTTGTAATGATTCTGCCAGTGGTTTCATCGATAGTGCATTCCTTCGGATCGACTTCCTTGACTCTGCCCTTATCATCCTTTTGAGTAATAATATAGATTTTGACGATTATCAGTTTACCTGTTCTAGGATCGATTTTACCTAACTTAGTGTAAATTTCGCCAGTTCCAGGATCAACTTGTGAGGCAGAGTACAAAGGTTCGTTATTGTCATCGACATCGCCAGTAGCTGTGTAAACCTGACCATTAACCGGGTCGACTTTGATGAGGGATTTCTCAATATCTGTTGCTCGAGAGATTGTTCCTGTTTTAGGGTCTAATCTACCATAGATAGTAATAATATAGCCGGTGTTGGGGTCAATTTGACCAGCTGTATACAGAGTTTCGCCAGTTTTGGGGTCTTTAGGTCCAGCTATCCAAATCTGGTTAGTTTTCGGGTCAACTTTAACGTTTTTAGGATCGTTCGAGACGATTTGTTTACCAGTAACAGGATCGACTTTAGTTTGTATGATTCTCAGACACATTAACCTGCCGATGTCTTTATCGGGCTTACCAGATTTAGGATTGATTTGTCCTGTTCGGAGCAAGAACTGTCCAGTAAGAGGATCAACTTTAAGCTCTTTACTTTCGAATTTACCAGTCTTAGGATCGTTATAAGTTACAGTTCCTTTTACCAGATCTATTTGTCCATATTTAGTATTTATTATATTATTATCAGGATTGATCTGACCTGTACTGCTTTCAATAAGGGAGTTCTTTGGTTCAATAACACCTTTTTTAGTATCAAGTTTACCGACAAAGGAGGTAACTTCAACAACTGGATCAATATGGCTACCGACAACAAGTAACTGCGCATGGTTCGGGTTAACCTTACCAGTTTTAGGATCAAATACTCCAACAATAGTTATTTGTCCATTATTTTCATCTATAGTTATAGATTTTGCGTCTTGCGATCCAGTTGTATCAGATACGAAGATGACTCCATTTGATGGGTCGATAACACCATATTTGGTGGAGATGTTGCCAGTTTCAGCATCAACCTTACCTTTAGTGTGCTCTACTATTGCTTCATCAATTTTAACTTTACCCGTTTTCGGATCATAAGGTCCGGTTATAGTTGTTATGTCAACAACAGGGTCATCTTGTTTAGCCACACTTACGATCATTCCAAGATTGGGATCAATTTTACCAGTTTTAGGATCGATAGCACCAGAATTTAAGAAAATTTGTCCTGTTTCTGAAAGAATTGTTCCATCTTTAGTTTGTTTTTGTCCAGAGGGATCTGTAACAATTATACTTCCTTTGTTTGAATCAATTACACCGTATTTAGTTTCAATAAAGCCACTGGGATCAAGAACTCCAGTTAAATGTTCCACCTCGGCATTGAAGAAATCTGGTTTCTTTGTTTTTGGGTCAACTCTTGTAAATATCACCATGATTTTTACAATCTTCTTTTTAGGTGGTGCCGGTGGCGCTGTAGTAGGTTTGGTCGGAGCAACTCCTTGAACAGGCGAAGCCTTTTGATATTGATTGATTACTGGCGCAGATGGACGAACAGGAGACTGCAGAGGAGTTTGCACTGGAGTAGTGGTGGGTGTTTTAACAGGAGTTGGAATCCTTGGTGGAGAAACACTACCTCTTTGAGATACTGGCGTTGCTTTAGCCAAAATATTCTGTTTATCGATAATCGTATATTGTTGAGCAAATGTAGGATCTACTTTACCCGTTTTGGGATCAATAACAGACGTTGTAACTGTAATAGTGCCCGTTTTAGGATCGACTTCCGCCTTCTTTAGGTCTTGCTTGCCAGTAACAGGATCTTTGTATAAAATTTGCCCTGATTTAGGATCAATTATACCGAAATCTGTATGTATTTTTCCATCTTCAACACTTACAAAACCTTTAGAAGCATCTATTGTTCCAGTGCCAGCATCCACAGATTTTGTTTTTGGATCAAACCTATTTGTAACAATGACTATTCTTATTTCACCCTTTGATGGAGGCTTGGTGTGCTGTACAACAGGTTTGTTCACAATACTATATTGTTGTGCTAAGCTAGGATCAATTTTACCCGTCTTAGGGTCAACAACATTACTGGTAATTAGCATATGTCCGGTGGCCGGGTCGAGCTGAGCTTTCTTAATATCTTGTTTGCCTGACTTGAGATCTTTCATTGTTATTTCACCAGAAGCAGGGTCGATAATGCATGATTCTGTATGTATTTTACCATCAGCACCGACAGTTCCTGAAATTGTGTCAATTTGTGCTTGAGTTGGATCAATCTTCTTTGTTCGTGGATCATATTTAGTAGTTATAATAACAAGGTGAATTTCTCTTTCTACCGGTTTAATATCTTTATCAATGATACTGAATTGTTGGGCAAGCGATGTATCAACCTTACCGGATTTTGGATCCACTACACTGCCAGTTAATATTAGATTCCCGGTTTTAGGATCAGCCACAGCATTTCTAACCTCTAAGTTTCCAGTTAAAGGATCTGTTTGTTCAATTTTACCAGTCTTCGGGTCAATTATGCCAAAGTTACTATGAATTCTGCCATCAGCAGCAACAACGCCTCGAGATGTTTCAACGTGCCCATTAGGTGTATCTAATCTCTTATATTTAGGATCATACTTGCTAGTTATTACTACCAGTTGTATTTCTTTGCCTGGAACAGATCCAAAAGTATCTTTCGGTTTACTTACAAGTGTATATTGTTGCCCTAGCGTTGGATCAACTAATTTAGTATTGGGATCAATAACGCCTGAAGTGAGCAACATATTACCCGTTTTAGAATCGAGGACAGATTTTTTTATTTCTTGTTTGCCCGTAACTGGATCAGTTGTGGTTATTTGACCAGTAGCAGGATCAATGACTCCGATATCAGTGTATACTTTGTCATCATCACCTAGTTTTCCAACTACTGTGTCAACGCGAGCATTCGTGAGGTCAAGTTTCTTAGTTTTAGGATCATACTTTGATGTAATAATTACTAAATTCATGTATCGCTCTGGTATGCCTTTAGGAGCATCTTTGTCCACAACAGTTAATTGTTGCGCTAACGAAGAGTCCGTTTTGCCAGTTTTCGGATCTATAACACTAGATGTTAGAATAAAACTGCCAGTTTTTGCATCAATCGTGGCTTGCTTTGAATCACGTTTGCCAGTTTTAGGATCTGTTAAATAGATTTTACCAGAATTAGGATCTAGCACTCCAAAGTTTGTGTGCACTTTTCCATCTTTGTCGCTAATTATAGCTTGAGATGTTTCGATAAAACCATTAGGATTATCCAATTTCTTGGCCTTGCTGTCGTATTTGCCAGTAATGGCAACTACTTGCACTTCTCGTCCAGGGATTGTAGCAAAGGTGCTTGTGGGTTTATCTACGATACTGTATTGTTGTCCCAATGAAGTATCCAATTTGCCTGTTCTAGGATCAACAACCCCAGATAATAAAAGGATATTACCTGTTTTAGGGTCAACCTGCGCTTGTTTTAATTCTTGGTTACCGGTTTTTGCATCGGTCACCTGTATGTTACCGGTCCTTGGATCAATAACACCGTATTCGGTATATATTTTACCGTCAGCACCACTGAGGACTCCTTTAATGGAATCAACATGAGCAAATGAAGGATCAAGCTTCTTATTCTTCAAATCATACTTGCTTGTGATGACGACTAGTCTTACTTCTCTGTTTGCTTTAGTCGCGTCTTTTTCAACAATGCTGTATTGTTGGCCAAGAGATGAATCCACTTTTCCTGATTTGGGATCTAATATACCCGTCGTAACGAGAAGATTACCAGTTTTGTTATCAACATATGCCTGTTTCGGATCTTGTTTTCCTGTTTTCGGGTCTTTATAATCGATCTTTCCAGTCCTTGTATCTATAATACCATAGTTAGAAGTTACAATGCCATCTGGCGAAACAATAGCTTTAGACACTTCGACATGTCCATGACTTGCGTCGAGTTTTTTGTGTTTACCGTCATATTTTCCTGTGATCACGACTAAGTCAACTTCTCTGCCGGGTTTAGAACCCACTTTATCATCGGCCTTTTCTACGAAACAGTACTGTTGGGCTAAGGTAGGATCCATCTTTCCTGTTTTAGGATCAATAACACCTGAAGTAAATAGAATATGTCCTGTCTTTGAATCTACGTGGCCGTTCTTGACCTCTTGCTTACCGGTGGCAGGATCCGTAAAACTTACTTGACCCGATTTCATATTAATGACTTCGCTCTCAGTTGTTATTTTGCCTGTGGCTTTATTTATTGTACCTTTAGTTACCAGAACGGTACCATTAGCGTCATCTAATTTTTTAGTCTTTGCGTTATAACGACCAGTTATAATTACAACCTGAATTTCCTTGTCAAGCTTGGCAGCCGAAACAGGGACTGCGGCCGCAACTGGTACTTCATGTTGAGCTCTTTCCGCTTCGAGCAGAGCCAGTGTCGGGTCAATAACATTAGACCTCGGTTTCTTGGCTATTTCTTTGAGACCCGCAGATTCTACGTAATCTAGACCGGGAGTCTTCAATTTACTTGGATCCTCTGGTGTTTTACGTTTCTCTGCACTCTCTGCGACCCTCTTGTCTTCTCCTGGTGCATAATTGAACGCTAATCCTGCTTTCCTTGTGCCTGGGCTTTGACTGTCATCCAAACCCCTCTGTTTCTCATCAGATATTGGTTCCCTTTCATAACTAAATGCCCCTTGAATAAACGGCTTACGCGTAGGACTTTTCTCAGTGTCAGTATACTCGTATGGTTTGGTAAAGCTCGGCTTATCTTCTTTCTTTGGACTCTTATCGACTGAACTATCAAAGTTGGAGCTATCGTTGGACGTATCAAGCACAGCAATTTTTGCTTTAGGATCTTTAATTTTCTTGTCTTTGTCTTTTGGAGACTTTTCTTTAGGAGATTTCTCTTTGATTTTAGGTGACTTTTCTTTCGGGGACTTCTCGTCCTTGGGTGATTTTTCCTTTTTAGCGAATAAGCCAAATCCTCCCTGATTGTTAAGGAAAGAGGGTGAGGAGAAACAAAAAAACAAAAATTAATAAATAAAAAAATAACTGCTTCGTGTTGTTCTACAAACAAGTGCAAACTAAACATTGTATGCGTCCATGCTTTGCACAATAACAAGAATATTTACAACATTTGTAATCACCACAAATATCTATTTCGCGTTTTGAAATGTGAATCTACCATTCAAAACAAGTATTTAGTCTAACGCATTTGTAATTACCTTCTTTTTCGGCGAAGTTTCGAGATTATTCGCATTACCGGGGTCGCTGGTGGTATCTGTACCTGAAATATCAAATAATAATAAATATATAAATCGCTTAATTATTAAAGTAAATGAAAGTAGAAAACATTACACAAATACATTTTTTAGAAATAATAATACATTTGAAATTATTATGCATTTTCACAAAACTATCCAAACACTGATTGAATCACCAAACAAATTTACCGTTTTCAGCTGGTTTCTTTGATTCCAATTTCTTTTCTTCTTTTTTATCTGGTGGCGCTGTCGGCATTACCTTAACGGCGCCCGGTGGCGGTTTCTGGAATTAAAAATAAAACATTTTAACAATAACATCTATCTGTTGCCTTCGTTAATTATATTTTCACAATATGTTCAAACCAATTTTGTGGGAATGACATAAGCTCAGCGATTTACCGTAGCCATTTCAATACAAATTAGTTTAGATATCGCAATTATTATCCAATTTATGGTATTTTTAATAGACCAGAAATTCGTTAAAATTCCAATAAAGGTGTAAATTCGATTACTTAGAAGAATATGCTAAAAGATTTGCTTACTTATCAAGCTTAACCTAATTTAAAACCACAATTACTAACTAATGTATCGTACTTCCATTAAGCAATTCATAAAAACCTGTTTTGTTTCAGATGTAGCTTTCACGCAAATTAAAAAAACCATTACCTTTTACCCTTTACCCTCATTTATTAGCTCTAACGATGTTTATTTAAAGAATACAGCCACACTAAAATTATAGACAGATTTTTTAAACATCTCATTTTTTAAAATTAAATTCACGATTATAGATTATTTTAATAATTAATGAAGGTAGTAAAAATGTGCATTTCTTCTAACTACTTGTCAAAGCACACAAAACACAAATAATAAGAAATACTACTTATAATTTATAAACTAAATAAAAGTGCAAAATAACACGATAAAACTGCAAATACTCTATATATATCGTTCTTAAAACATTAAATTGAGACAGAAAAAATTACCAAAACTTAATGACAATAAGATTTTTTTAAAAACAATTTAATAATATTTAATGACAATAAGAGATATTTTCGATTGAAATTGAAAGGTGGAAAGGTGGTTGGAACATAACGAGTAAATAGAAAAAAGACAAAAACATAATCATAAAAGCCCACAGAACAACTTAACAAAACACTACACTCCGGGACCTGTAAATTCTAAAATCGTTCAAAAAAGATGACTTATATACAACAATACAAAATTTCACGTTACATATTAGAATAAGTCACCTTCCTTTTTAATTACTACGATAACTAAATGAATGTATGTATGTATGGAACCTTGTCCCCTCTGTCCGCAAAGTATTCTCCCTCGAGAGAGCTCGCTGATGATGCGCTGACAGTACCGCCTGAACGCCGTCGGAGCTGCGTCCCGTATTTAATTACTCTTTTGATGTACATAATATAATGTCCAAATTATTTCGACGCTATATTATTATTTAGTCTTTAGTAAATGCCTTCTCGGTAGAACCAATTTCCGAGCCTGTCTTTGAATAATTTCAAGTCGTATACAGTACCAGAGTAATTTCAAGTATAATAATCGACTTTAACGATTTTAATACACAATATTTTCCATAACTAGAAAGTCATATCATTATACAAAAACGTACTATGAACCTTAAATGTTTATAGAACAGGGGTCATTTGATGTTAAGTGATACCGCCCATGGACACGACACATAGAAGTAAGAAGTAGACATGGGGAGAAATTGGCTGTGCCGAAAATCAATCCGGAACTATCCGCGAAAATAGAGGACACCGTGAGCCATTTTTGCCAAAACCCTCCATCTTTAAGTCGATACCAACTCCGGGGTAATAAATACAGATAAGGCAACTTTCTCTACAGCTGTGATACTTTTTGACATCCAACATCTTTTGTCTTCAGTCACCGTGACCACGCACGCTGTAAAGCACGCGAAACGTCGGATAAATTTAAAATTATGTTAAATAGTTGTAAATTTATAATAATACATAACTTCAATTCGGTTAAACAGTTTTTTCTTTAAATGTGTAAAGGTTATGTAAATCAAAGACAATACAATCTGAAACTGTTTAGGAAACCACATTTTGTATGGCCATTAAGGTTTACAATAATTTACCAAAAGAATTAAAAGATCTTCCGACTAGTCTTTAAAAATGGTGTATTACTTTTGAAATAAATGTATTACAACAATAAATGATTATTTGCGTGAGACACTGTAATTTAGTAACGTATGATATGTACGATACAAATAATATAAGAACTGACCAATTCATATGACTAATAATGTAAAATTCCTTTAAAGACAAATTTGCGCGCCATTGTGTGTGGCAGAATATGCGAACTTACGATTGTACCACCTTTCACATTTTTGTACCATATTCTTGCAATAAAATTATTATTATTATTAAGGGCTCGCGAATGCGTTGCAGGTAACTTCTCCTTCGAGCATGACAGTTCTTACTCTTATTCTCTGATAGACATCGATTTTATTATCGCCCGCTTTGTCACGATTTATTTGCGTTAGAGCAATGTTTAACGCATTTTTTTCTTTCTATAATTCGTAGCCGGAGGTCTAACGTTGAGGCAATATAACAATTGAGTTGTTGATATTTACTTTTGATAGTATTTATGCCTTTTACCTCGTAAACGTTCTTAATTAAGATAATTTAATCCCATTAACTATCGTATTAGTTCACTGTCAAGATAAATAAATAAACATCAAAAAAAAATGTTTAGTTTGTAAAGTTTTAGTACATCAAAAGAGTTAAGTATTATGTGTAAATGAAACATGCACGATAAAAAAGTATTATGGTTCAATTCTCTAAAACACTATGAAAAAACAAAACTATACAACTTATATTTTTTATTCTAAAATATTTTAAAATGTAAGACTCGTAAATTAAATAAATTTAAATATTTTATTGATTAACTATTATATTATATACCCAATAAAATATGGCTACTTGGATATTGCCATCCTTTTCGGTACTGTACGTACAAGTACTCAATAACTTACATTATAAGTTTAGTTATTTTTATCCGTAAAAGCTAATTTTATTTATAATAAAATCTTGATTATTTATATATACCTTGTCCGTGATGGCAGGTCTGGGCGCTGGTTGAGGTGGCATGGTGTGTCTCTTCGCAGCATCTGGCGGCATCGAATCATCTTTCACACCAGATGAGAGAGCTGAAATTATTTTTATATCATAAGTGTTTAATCTTCTATAAACATTTCGTTAAATAAAGTCGATTATTCTCAAAGTGGCTTGTTCATTAAAGCTAAACTATAATGTAACTATAGTTTTTAAACAAACCCCTAAGAACGAGGCAGTTATACGAACTAATTTAACTTTAAATTTCCATAATAACTGTCATTATTACTGTCGAACTATAATGACGTGAAACCACTAAATATATATATATATACCTAAACTGACTACCTAAAAATTTAATAAAACAGAAACCTCTCTAAAACCAAAAATACTTCAAGTCCTAGTCATTTCAATCGTCAAAGAAATTTCGTTCTAAAGGATATAGGGCAATGAAAACCTACTTTAGCCCCCTAATAGATACAGTGATAAATATTTATTAATTGTTTAGACGCCCTTAAATCTTTTTAACTTTGAGTACTGGTAACAAAACTTATATGACCCCAACTCACATGTACAACGAGGATTCCAACAATCGTCAAACACCATTTTCACAATCAACTTATAACCGAATTCAAAATCGAACCGTCTTTACCGACTCACGCCTCTTGACTGACACACTGACTCGGTAATAGTACAAAAATAAATCCTACGTATTGGATGATGTTATGCTTTGAAAGCTGCATTCATTATTCAAACATTGTTTCATACACCAATAGGCTAGATGGAGCAGTGTTGGCCTAGTAGCTTGAGAGTCCAAGGTCCATTCCACATCATTCGTGGCCGTAGACCGGCTGATCGCGTGGCTCAGCGGACAAAGCTACGATGTTACTGGTGGTGCCGTGGGGTTTTAATGGGTATGCACAACAGCGAGTCCCACATAACCCTTCTCCACCAGGTCAACCGTGCCGCGGGAGGGTATGCGTAACGCATTTACCCACGAAAAGAAAAAAAAGTAGCTTGAGAGTGCGTCTCTCAATCTTAAGGTCTTGCGTTCGAATCACGGCTGCACCAATGGATTTTTCTATGTGTGCATTAACAGGAAATATAGTGAAACGGCCTTATACCTTAAAAAATAGAAATCACCACAATGCAGATACATAAATCTGAGACCAAAACCATTGTAACGCCACTGGTTTTTTAGTAAGCTCGGTTCATAATTCCGGTTAGATCTGTCTAACATAGTTAATTGCGTCTTATTATTTTACAATAGACAAGTTTATTGGTTATAAGTAAGATTATGCGTTACAATTATTGTTAGACCGTTTTAAGTAAAAACAACTTCCCAGCTCTTTTATAACAATCTTACACTTATAAGACATCACAATTTTTTTTAGAGTTTTTTTTTTTTTCATAATTAACAATAAACAGTGATCGGGTTTGTGGAACTATATTAACTGTAAAAATTAATAAATTTCATATCGAAAAATGTAATTAACACAAATATACTATCAATTGAATTTTGCATCTGTAAAAATGTTCAAATCTTAATTTCCACTATACATCAATCGTGTTTACTCAGCGATTCTTAAGAAATAATCATTGCACATAAAACTGAGGAAAATTTTCCTCAAACAGTGATTCACTTATGAGATAAGTGATAAAAATATAATTATGATGCTAGTGTCACCGTCCAATGCAGTCTGGCGCGGTGACAGCTCAATTGGCGCGAAAATCAACAGTCATGGGTTAAATGGTGGGATCAATACCAATTAGTGTTGAAAATTACAGCAACGCGACGGCCTGAACGATAATTTCGCTTTTATTTGCGATTCGTTCATCAAAGGATCTGAATATAAGATCTGAATATAATAGATACACATCAGAATGAGCCCATTAGACTAAAATTGGGCTAGCTGATGGCGACGTGTATCTCGTTCGTATATAATATTAAATTTCTCATGTAAATAAAAAATATTTTTTTTGTAATGAGAAATAAAGTTCTTTAAACATTATATAATACTGGTAGTTACCGCAAGTATTACATAATATATTTTTGGGATACGCAAAAGCCTACTAGACGCTCATAAAGAGAAGTTATCGAACCCCATTGACACCCATTTAAGGTGGTTGTGTTGCTGGTCTTTGAGGGAGGAGTATACCCTCTTTTTAAAGAATTGGAGGTCGTATCTATTCTAAAATTCGCTAATATGCAAAAGAAAATGCCTAGTGAAGCTGATCGTGGAAGGTCTTCAGTCGTCAAGGTGATGCGGATGAGATCTGGAGTTAATACGGCACGATGATGAAACGAGACAGGAGAGATCAACCCAAACAACTAATCATTGTACACTTTAGAAGACGCAAAAACGCAGAGAGAGAGAATTGATATCACAGCGCCGTGTAACCATTTACATCCTGTCTTCTTTTATTTTATCTCCTGTCTTGAGTTATTATAATGGACGTAAAAACTTATTGTTATTATTTAAATTTTCATAATAGCGCTTGCTTAGGTAGACATAAGAGCATTCATTCCTCCATTAATAAAAAATAATTTTGTGGGACAACTGAACGAAACCTAGGACTTAGAAAAAGGTGCATTGGACTCCTATTAAAAGTCTAATCCACTTTCTGACTCTCCAATATGTGTGTAAAAGTCAAAAGAAAAACCTATGAAAAATCAGTGTAATATGAAAATGGTACTCACCCATAGTACTACGCGACGTGAGCCCTCTAGTGGAGAAGGATCTATCAAAGTTGGGCGGTGGACGGGACAGTGTGGCATTCCTTGACTGGTAGTGCGTGCGACCAGGGAAGCTGACCCGTGAACCGAAACGCGGGAATAGTGTACTGCGCGGTGGTGGCTCGGGGCTTGTTAGCCTGTAAACATTATACATAAATCTTCTGCATCTAACCTGTCATACTCAAGTAACGATAAAATGTATACGAAATAATTTTGACCAACTTAAACTAAAACTTACGGTGCGGTGCGGGGATTGCATTTCGCGTTATTGTAAATATTATTTTCGACTTTCCGGTAATTTACACAACATTAATGGTAACTTTTAGGTATAAAGAGTCTCTAGGTGGTAACGAAACGTTTTACTATTGGGTGCAGAAAAACGTTACGGCGCGTTACATGCGTGACGTAATACTTGAACGCTCCCTTATTTGCCTAGGACCTGACATACTTAAATTGGTCATTCTAAACTAAGGGTATTTGTGCAAATTTGAAGTAACTGCCACCATACATGCTTGACATGGTAGTAACATGTAAAGTCGAAGGTAGTCCTATCTATCTAGTCCAATCCTAGTTTGGATTCAAAACCCGAATTTATTAAAGCCATGTACCTAATAACCTACTTCAAAAAACATAAATTAAACTCAAAGAAACTTCATCTATCCTTAACAGTAACCTGTTCACTCAATTTATGTTAGAAAATAAACAATGCATTAATAAACTCAAGAAATTAGAATGGACGTTATAACTAAAATCTTTATATATATAAATCTTCTGTACTTGCGTTTGTAAAGAAACTGAAACAGCTGGAGTATAAGCACGACACCTAACTATTCAATTATGTAGATACATATATTTAGGTATTAATAAATCACCTGAAGAACGTATGATGTTCCACGCAGGTCTTCCACAATTTCTTTGCAGCGCGATGGTTGGCGAGTTTGAAGCCGACGGTAGATTCGAATTGCTCGAACTCGCCCGGACGCAACTTCACATAGAAGTTGTGGCGTTTGTAGCTGATCTTGAGAATCTTCGGCCACGCGAAGCGATTGATACGAAGTCTGTAAATGTTTTTATTAAGTATTTTCATAGGAAATAGTCTGGTTACGGAGACTTTAAACTATATTTACAATTATTTTACATAATTTTAAATTTAACCGACGTTTCGCGTGCTACAAGCGTGCGTGGTCACGGTGACTGAAGACAAAAGGTGTTAAATGTCAAAAAGTATCACAGCTGTAGAACAAGTTGTATTATCTGTATTTATTTCCCCGGAGTTGGTATCGACTAAAATATGGAGGGTTTTGGCAGAAATGGCTCACGGTGTCCTCTATTTTCGCGGATTGTTCATATTGAGATTTTAATTTGGATATTATTGGATCCCAGGTGTTTGACAATTTTAGGCTACTCTATTGAAATTGGGGTGTTTTTTTATTTCAATGGCTTCACGTACCAATCTTGGGAAGAATCTTTTTTCTTTCGCAAGTACTTTCGGTTGGTCAAAGCGTATGTAGTGATTAGGCCTATCTAGTGTATGCTCACAGACACAGCTGATTTTGTGTGTCGTCTGTCTTATGTCCGAAATGTGTTCTTTGAGTCTGCTGGACATATTGCGTTTAGTTTGCCCTATGTCAGAAATACATAACTTCAATCCGGTTAAAAATTGTTTTAAAATGTGTAAAAGTTATGTCAATAAAAGACTATATTTCCTATGTTTTTATATGTCAGATTAATATTAATATTATAGGTCCGTACCTATAATATTAATATTAATCTGACTTAAAGGAATGCTAAATAAAAATCTACATTCATGTATGTTTCTGTAGTGTTGCACATTAGTGTTTCTCATTATTAATAATTGAATATTAATATTTTAATTGAAGAAGAAAAATTATCCTGTATGTGCTCCATGGTATATATTCTAATATATACAATTTTGATATTTATTTTCCTCCATTTGCAATCTAGGAAAGTCCAATAAAATGTTAGCTATACAATACTTTTAAATTATATTTTATGTTTGTTCGTTCGTTTAGTTTAAGCTTATCATAACTAAAATTTTAAAATAAAACCAGTGTTGGCCCAGTGGCATCAGCGTGCGACTCTCATACTTAAGGTCATAGTTTCGATCCCCAGCCATACACTAATAGTCTTTCTATCTATGTGCACATCTAACACATACTCGAAGGAAAACATCGTGAGAAAACGGGCATGTCCTAAATCCAAAGATCTATCTCTTTTTTTTTATAGAACAGGGGGCAAACGGGCAGGATGCTCACCTGAAGTGATACCGCCGCCCATGGACACTCTCAATGCCAGAGGTCTCGCGAGTGCGTTGCCGGCCTTTTACTTGTGTTTGAAATAAAAATGATCAAAGAAACGGACGCAATCTGGGGCCAAGACCTAAGGTTATAGCGCACCTGGATATATAGTATATCTCTGAAGAAGTTTCTTATGAAGTGTTAATTCATATTATTACTCACTTGTCTCTATACACAAGGAGACCGGATGAGCAGACACCCAGGGTAATGTCAACATTCTCAGAGTCTTTCGCTGGGTGCAAATCAACTCCATACATTGCCAACTTCTTTGCGTTCTCTAGGTAGTTCAGCTCGGCTTCGGCTGGGGTTTGACCTCTGAAAATAATCGTTATTACAATTTAACAGGAATTCTGAATGTGAGACCATTTCCAACATCCAATCTTTGTTAATGTGCTTAATACTAACAAACAAAACTGTAACTTTTAATATCTAATTTACGACTAAAGAAAATACTAAAATATAATTCAAAGACGAGTTAAAAAAATGTATTAGAATAGTATACTGTATTGTTATATATGTTAATTAGTACTAATAATTGTATGAATAAGAATCTTCATTCCAATCAACGGTAAACGGTAAATGCATGGAGCATTTGCCACAGCAGCTGCCGACACCAGATCACTTTCAGATATTTTTATTATCTTTTTAAGTGTAATAATTTAATGTTCATCTTTGTTAATATTCAACAATTGTGTAATTTAAAATCCAGTAAGAGCAAACGTGATTTCTATTGTGATGTTTTTAAATTTAAATTATATAAAATAAATTTAAAATTATTTTCTATGTCACTAAGGTACAACACATGTCTATCAAAGGGACACAATTAGTCATTAATAATTTTAACTTAGTCTTACCTGTGTGTTTTATGTAACTCAACGACCTTCTCTTCCAGATCGGGTGTACAGCTGGCAGGTGGAACCAGCTTGAGCTGCTTGCATAGGCCAGCCCCTACCTCGCTATCCTCGTAATCTCCACGCTCGGATTGAAGAAGGTAACTCGCTAGGAGGGCGTGAGTGACCGCAGAACATGGTAGACGACCTGAGAAATATTGAGATGAGTTGAAATACGGCAAAATATCAATAGAATATGACAATACATGTAATCAGTATAGGTAATCCATTACCAACGAGGGCGTTGTTTGACCTTACAAATTGGGAGTATTTGATAGTATAAACAACATTCATGTCATGTCGTTTCCGGCTCGTAGGACCAAACCGTTCTTAGCGGTTGTTTTTTATTACTATTGCCACTCATTCGATTAGTTTTGACTGTGAATTCACCTTCTTTAGATGATTAAGAATTTAAGTCTTTCGACGTTATAAACGCATAACATTTAAATAAAACATACCATCTAACAGATCTTTCCTAATGGCCAGCACTAGTTGATATCTAGTCAACTCCTCTTGGAGTTGTCCAGGCTCTGGTGGGTAGAACTTCACCGTGAAACGCACGTACCACGGCTCATCTGTAATTAATTTCAATATTTAACAGATATTGTAACATATATAGTAGTAAAAAATCGAAAAAGAATTTTACAATACAAAATTTCAAAGCCTAACTGAAATTGTTACGATCAATGTTTATATGAAAACTTGAAACACCACATCCGGAACTAAAAGGAAAATGGAACATACTTTGCATGTATAGAACCCATGTACTCAACTACACAAATGTTTTTTCGTTCCGGTATATAGCATTTAAACAATTTCGGCAGTCTACTTTGTACTGTGTAAAGTTTATCTAGTCAATATACATGGTTGTGACTAGTGAAACTGTTATTGATATAGTCAAGTAAGTAAATAATAATCATATATATATATATAACAAAACGGCAATAAATTGACTAAGCTTACAGTTAAAAAGAACAAGATAATTAATCTAAGTATAGACTGTCTGAACATACGTTTAAACAACTTGGAGACGCGTTTGTCAAGGTCGACCCATGTCCTAGTGTCACCACGATCTTCATACAGCAGCCCAAAATAGTCCTTCTCCACCAGGTTAAGACTGTCGCACACCTTTGATAGGAGATCATGTCCACGGACTTTTCTCTGAAATAAAAAAAAGTTATAAATTTACAAAACACCGATTTTTAGGTAAGGGAGTGTTCAAGTATTACGTAACGAATTTTGGGAGAGAGGGGGTCCTTTTGTAAAACTTTTCGATGCGGGGCGGGAATTGAATTACGCGTTATTTTTAATATTATTTTCGACTTTCCAGTACTTTACACAACATAATGGTAAGTTTAAGGTATAAAGAGTCACTAGGTGGTCACTAAACGTTTTAGTATACTTGGGTACAGTACTGTACTTGGGTACAGAAAAACGTTACGGCGCGTTTAATGGGGGAGGGGGTGTCAATAATCTCCAAAAATTGCGTGGCGTAATACTTGAACACTCCTTAAAAGGTTATTAATTAGTCATAATTTAAATAAGTATTTTATATAGTTTATTATTTCTCTCAAATTGATGAAGGTGTACCAATTTGGACAGAAATTGATACCTAAGTTTTTATACAAATTCTACACAACCTAGGTTGCTGCTTAGACCGACGCTGAAAGTCTTTCGTCAATACATAAGTTATTAAACAAAATTTATAATTTGAATTTAAACTCGAATTTATTTCTTCACTCGATGGTTCAAATGCGTAGTCGTAGTCACAGCGAGATGACACTCCTTTAAAGAAAATAATGTAATAATCTCGCTTTAAAATCTGTTACGGAAGTTTTATTTAACTGTGTTACATTACTCGCGTTAAACAATTTAACTTTAGTTTAACCTACGCGCTATACTGATATCGCAAATATTATGAGTCAGTTCGCTTTAGATAACTTACATCAACTTCGAGCTCCGTGACGGATCCATCTAGCATCTCCACTTTGACCCTGGCGAGGTTGCCGGACCGCTTCTTTGGAGACTCTTTCTTCTTCTCCTCCTTGCCATTTTTACCGTCTTTCGTCACTCCCTCCGGCATTTTGCCACTCTTCTCTCAATACCTGGAATTACAAAAATATAATATTATTATAAGGTTCTAAGCGACATATCATGATTGCATCATACCTTTTTAATATTTTATCCCATATATTGCTAAATGTATAGAAAATAGTTGGACTCTTTAATTAATATATATCCCGATGATAGATAAAAATATACAATAATTATTTCAGTTCAAGCTATTTAGGATTGTAGATATCCTGTGCTTATCAAAGACAGGATAAAGGAAATAAACGTATCAACAGTTTATGTTAGTATATACATAATATAGTATAAATGGGTGGAAATATAACTGTGAATTTCCTGTTAAGTAGTGCAATTATTATAATTTTTTATGAAATAATATGCAAATAACAATCTAAAAGGCGTGACAATACAAGCTCTCACTGGCAAAAATACCGTAAAATGATTACTAAATATCCAATAACGTGTTTAGGTTCCAAATTACCATAGCATTGCGGTAAATATGATAACCACTTTACGAATAACTGTATTTAAATGTAAAATTTGTTAAATAATGATTGGATCGATTCGACACATCGTGAGATCTTATTACTTTTTCCGTAACGTAAAAAATTATTAGTAAAAAATTTATAGAAAATTTAAACTCTTCACCAGAGAGACGTATTGATAAAAATTATACACACGATAAGCTCTAGCTAAGGGAGATTTGAAATCACAATTTTATGTTCAGTGAAGCTATAAAACAAATAGTATCTAATATATAAAATTCTCGTGTCGCGGTGTTTTTAGTTAAACTCCTCCGAAACGGCTTGACCGATTCTCATGAAATTTTGTGTGCATATTGGGTATGTCTGAGAATCGGACAACATCTATTTTTCATCCCCCTAAATGTTAAGTCCACCCCAAATTTATTTCTTTTAATTTTTAGATATTTTTTTTTTTATTATGATACAGCATTAAAAAATACATACAACCCCTAATTTTCACCCCACTACGATCAACACCTATTTTGTATTATAAATGATATACACAGCAAAACGACGTTTGCCAGGTCAGCTAGTAATATATAAAATCCTTTTAATATGGCGTTTAAAAAACCTAATGTAGAGAATATAAGTGCAAGTGCGGTATCTCGGACACACGAACATAGTCTAATCATTATAGAACACTAAGGCTGCTGGCGGCGGTGGCTGCGGCGCGGGAGCGGGCGATTGCACCTCTCGTTACCCGCCCTCGCGCCGCTGCCACGCCGCTGTTTTCGAGAATGAGAATGAGAATGGACCGGCCATTTGATTTTACGCATAAGATCCTGCCGCTCCCGTGACGCCGCCGCTGCCGCCCCGCTGCCCGCAAAATTCGAGGCAGCAGCCTAAGACTGTTAATGAACATTACCTTAGTTTAAGCTATTTATTAGTATTGTAGAAAATTAAGTCAACATAATATTACTTATTAGCTAAAATTATTGTATAGACTCGCTTGTAACTCATGTGGAGTCGCACTCTTTTTGTGAACTTTATACGTAAAAAAATGGCGTAATATTTTCCCGTTAAAAAACTATCCCAAAGTTTAGTTTACAGCAAGCATGGCTTCGGACTGTAACTTATTAATAACGTTTTAATACGATTAGGATTAACTGTTACTGGCGTATAAATAACATACAGAATACACTGTACACAAAATTAACCACATTCAGAACTCCACACACGGAAATATAAATTTTAAGTAAAAACCCACTCGCAACGTAATCAAACAGGAATAAAATTGTCACAGAAAAGATCTCGTACGGTGAAACAAAAGTCTTCGATTTATAGATGCCTCATGTTACGTATTATTTATCAGACTAAAAAAAACATATCTTAATTTGTTATAGTTTATCTCAATTTGGTCCATGGTCTTGCCAAATGTTAACCATTGAAACATGACTCATATTACATGAAAATTTATAGTCCAATAGAGTTTTCAATTTGATGAGTCATATGATGGTCTAATGCTCAATAATTGAATCGTCAATTAAAATTCTTGCCAATTGAAACTATTCTAAGTATGTATGAAGTCTATATTTTTGAAGTTATACTTCTTTTGGCGCGTTAGGGAAAAATGAGGAGAGTAAATTTTTACGATGCGCGCGCACACCGTCATAAAAAACCGACACCCTGAAGTTAGCTATAGTCAAAATTTTAGTTTTTTCTATTGTTAGTGTAGTTTTTTTCAACAAACGTAGAAATTTTTATTTTGTTACGCCACAGAAGTTTAACTTCTAACGCGTGCACATAAGTACACACACGTTTTTTTTATTAAAATAGTTTTATTAAATACAAACATTTTTGCGTCTTTCAATTAAGATTTAAGGCACACTTGACTAGACCATCAGCTTAACTAACAAAATCTCATAAGTATAGTTGTTTAGACATGCGACACGTTTTATCCTTATCTACACTATAACGTACCTATATTTTACCTACTTAGTACAGAATATGTAAGAAATATACCATTTAACTTGTCATACAATTAAGAGTGGTGGAGAATCATCTATTACTTACTTTTCCTTGACATGAATCCTATTTTGATTTGACTTTGAATATGTACCTTCAATTGGCGTAGCATTATAGTAAAGCTTATTCAAATATCCTAAACACTGAGGTATGTCCATCCGTTTGGCCCATTGTCATTCATAGTTCGTCCATACCGAATTGGTATACAATGGTCTGTGTAATTTGTTTAATCAATTCATGCCTTCCTATTTTAGAACCCAGATTGGTTTAAATTTACATAGAGAAGAATAGCTTCCCTTGCTTATTCCTCATAGTAAAATAATGATTATTGTAGTGTATTGACTAAATAAAGTGTTACTTGGTTGTCTCATGCGCCTACGTCACTTGTCAGACTGTCAGTCGTAATCCGACATCCGAACGGAGCGGTTGTGTGTAGAATGTTTGTACAAGTGTTGTGGTGTTGGTGAGCCGTAAATCAGTCCAAGAAGCAGGACATTACATGTGGCGACGAGGAAAAAAGTGAGTACACATTAGTAAAACAAAAACAAAAGGGAAAGATACGGTGCAGTAAACAAGTGACGTCATTCCCAGAGTCCTTTGCCTATAATTTACTATGACCCGGTTGTTTTAATCATTAGCTATTGATAGCAGAAACAGTTGCTTCTTGACTTTTGAACGAATGTAGATAATTTTATTGTTGACGGGAAATATGAATTTGTATTACAATATTTAATATTGTCGTGCCTACATTTAAACAGTAAGCAACAAACCTCTGCAATTACTGAGCTAAGGATATAAACAAATAATTACCTATAGGTTCATCTAATCTAAACTACGGGCACCTACATTGAATGTACGATTGTTTTGTAGCACCTACCTACATAGTGATAGAAATATATTGTACTAGTAGACCGGCCAAGCGTTGCTGTGGCTAAGGTTTTTGTTATATTACAAAGTAGTAAACTATTCAAGGGAAACGGTACGAGAACACCAATCATGGGGACCACCATGCTTTATGGTGCTTATGCCATTAAATTGTAGAAACGTTGATAGAATTATATGAAACGTTGGTACTTTTAACACAGCGCCATCTGTTAGAATGGTGACTATTAAATAAGAAACAAATATTTTGCAATAAAATAATATTGCGGGTATAAATTGAGATGTACCCTATCTTTTAAGTAAGATCAAACTGCACACGGTGTGCAAATTTGATTGATATCGGTTCGGTAGTTTAGGAGTCCATAGCGGACAAACAATGTGACCAGTAATTTATATATACTAAGATTATGCTTGTGTTTAGTGGTGTTTCTATTTGTCTAAAAAAAAATAATAATAATAAAAATAATAGCAAGGTTTATTTACAACCGTTGACCGTTAAATCGGTAGGTACCTGTCTACCTAACTAACGCAGATTTAACAAAGACCCTTAATTGGATCTGGTTCAATAAATTAATTAAAACTATGTTCTTGTGATTAATACTGTAAAACAAAAGGAAGTATCTACTCAAAGCAGTTGGAACCCAACTGATCATTAAATTGATACCTGTAAATAAAAATAAAAGCAGACTAAAAGTCTGATCATTAAATTGATATCTGTAAGTAAAAATAAAAGCAGACTAAAAGTCTGATCATTAAATTGATATCTGTAAATAAAAATAAAAGCAGACTAAAAGTCTGATCATTAAATTGATACCTGTAAATAAAAATAAAAGCAGACTAAAAGTCTGATCATTAAATTGATATCTGTAAATAAAAATAAAAGCAGACTAAAAGTCTGATCATTAAATTGATATCTGTAAGTAAAAATAAAAGCAGACTAAAAGTCTGATCATTAAATTGATACCTGTAAATAAAAATAAAAGCAGACTAAAAGTCTGATCATTAAATTGATATCTGTAAATAAAAATAAAAGCAGACTAAAAGTCTGATCATTAAATTGATATCTGTAAATAAAAATAAAAGCAGACTAAAAGTCTGATCATTAAATTGATGCCAGTAAATAAAAATAAAAGCAGACTAAAAGTCTGATCATTAAATTGATGCCAGTAAATAGAAATAAAAGCAGACTAAAAGTCTGATCATTAAATTGATACCAGGAAATAAAAATAAAAGCAGACTAAAAGTCTGATCATTAAATTGATGCCAGTAAATAAAAATAAAAGCAGACTAAAAGTCTGATCATTAAATTGATACCAGTAAATAAAAATATAAGCAGATTAAAAGTCTGATCATTAAATTGATACCAGTAAATAAAAACAAAAGCAGATTAAAGGTCTGATCATTAAATTAATACCAGTAAATAAAAACAAAAGCAGATTAAAAGTCTGATCATTAAATTGATATCAGTAAATAAAAATAAAAGCAGATTAAAATTCTGATCATTAAATTGATACCAATAAATAAAATAAAAGCTTTACAATAAAATTATTATTGTATGTTAGTGGGTACTAACTTAACAGATTAAAAATCTGATAATTCATTTTATACGTTTGTTGGTTATGAACAGCTTAAGTAGATTTAT